TGTGGACCGTTGCGTCCTCCTGAGCTCGTTCTCAACAGCCAGCGCCTGACACGTCGTCTTCTTCTTCTTCTTCTTGCTTTACAGTGGATCGCAGACTTATAAGTGCATTACCGCCACCTATTTCTCTAATGGACCATTGACACTATCTACAATCTCAATTAGGAGTGTCAATGGTCCATTTGAGAGATAGGTGGCGGTAATGCACTTATAAGTCTGCGATCTGCCATAAAGCAAGAAGAAGAACAAGACGCCTCAGGCGCCGGCTGTTGAGAACGCTCTCAGGAGGACGCGCTCAGGACAGACAGTTCGGACATTGTGGTGAAAATCAGAGGTAAAAAACGATATAAATACTGTTCAGTTTCTTGCACAAACCGATTGTTTTGTGTCTTTACACATCAATGTATCGTCACGAGCCCCAGGGTTTAATTTGGTTTTGTTTGTATATGTTTTTTTGACTCCCAAAGCCGTGATTCCCATCCACTTACATTATATGACTGACAGACTGCAACGGTTTGAGTTAAAAATCTTCGTTTTTGTTCTACTGAAGAAACAAAGTCACCTACATCTTGGATGTCCTGGGGGTAAGCAGATAAACATCAAATTTTCATTTTTGGGTGAACTATCCCTTTAGTGGTATGTTTGTTTGTTGTTGTCTCATACTTGTAGATACACTGTTATTGGTGAATGCTACTGCTTCTGTTAGCTTTTAATATACAGTTTTATCCTGATTAAAGCTTTAATACGGTACAGCAACTGCACGTGTTAATATATGTATATGATCATACATGTATAACGCTTCTCATAGCTATGTGAAAATAAGTGTATAAATGGAACAGAGCTGAGCTGATTATCTGAATGAGAGAGAGAGAGGGAGAGAGAGAGAGAGAGATGCAGAGCGTGTGCAGAGCAGGGGACGCGAGGAACATTATTAAGAACCGCTGCTTTAGAACATTGATTTTGAAAATTGTGAATCCATCAGAATCGTTAGAAGACAGAATCGTGATTCATATATTAATAGATTTTTACGTGCACCCCTAGTTTTCTGTTCCTCTTCTCTAAAGCAGCACAGCATGGCCTCGCCCCGTTTGTGTCGTGTTCCCAGGGGCAGGGTTTATCAGGGTTTGTGACGTCACAAACCCAGGAAGCAACTCATTGTAGTCCCTACGAGCCGTTTTTGTAGGCATTAAATGGTCATAATTTTAAAAAACTTCGTAACTTTGCAGATATTGTTTATGCTCAAACAGCAACATTACACACAAACTAACGTTAAAAAAGTTAAACCGCAATCAACCACCCCTTTAATCTGCTCTATTATCTGTAAATATTTGGATACACTTTCTAAACCATATGTAATTAACTCCTACTTTTTGCTGTATTTCATAAGGTTGACTTCCTGTGTGATCCATATCCCATTTTTGTTGCCATTCTTTAATGAAATAAACTTCTATTATTACTTTTGCTTCATATTTACCAAGTGAAATAACCTATTCATTATCTCCTCACATTCCAAAGCCTGTTTTGCTAACTAACTTCATTGCCCTCTGTGACCTAGTATCCACATATGTATTTTCATAATGTTCCTTCTCAAGGCTACAGATTTTCATATATTCATAATTCATTAACTATATCTTGTCTACTGTGAGATATGACTGCAGTGACATTAATGCTGAACAGGAGTCTGTACTAAGAACAACCTTTTTGAGCTGTGTTTCTTCTATCCACTGTAACGCTGCTGCAATTGACAGCATCTCGGCTGTGAATACTGATAGATGATCTGATGTTCTGATGAATACTGAAAGCAAAACCTGCTCTCCCTGTATAAGGATCCTTGGATCCATCAGTATACTGGAACAAAAATTTGATATACAGTTTGTATGTGTGCGCTCTTCCTGGAGAAGTGCCCATAAAAGGAATTCCGCCCTTTATGATCTCATACAGTGACATATTCGGTATAGAAATACTCTGTCATACGTCCAACTCGTTTTTTAAGTCTTTGGTCATGTTTAGCATGAGAATCCCACTCTTTAAAAGAGTAAATAAATGAGAAGGCATGAAATGGCATTAGACAACCCCTTTAGTGCAAAACTCTTACAATGCAGACAAATGGAACACACTAAAAAATTTGGATCAGTAAATTGTCCAATAAAAAGATGAAACATGGGCTAAATTACATTAAATAAATTAACATGTCCTACAGTTACTTTTACATTTCAGTTGAGAGATTAAAGGGGTCATATGATGTTACTAAAAAGAACATTATTTTGTGTATTTGGTGTAATGCAATGTGTTTATGCAGTTTAAGATTCAAAAAACACATTATTTTGCACATACTGTACATTATAGTTTCTCCTCTATGTCCCGCCTTTGTGAAAAGTGTCGATTTTTACAAAGCTCATCGGTCTGAAAAAGTGAGGTGTGCTCTGATTGGCCAGCTATCCAGTGCATTGTGATTGGTCGAATACCTCAAGCGTGTGACGGAAATGTTACGCCCCTTGCCATATTGTGATGCCGTGTCCGGGCGCAATGAGACAAAACCAGTAAAAGCCATTATAAACGAGGCATTTGTTGCATCCAGTGGGGACATAATTACGGATTACAATGACTTATACTGTCTTTTTACGCATATATTGTGCCGCGCCGCATAAACATAAAACCATGTCTGCATTTGTGATCGGAGAAATGACAAACAACAAGCGCTACTCTACACTGCTCAAAACTCGCGTTTGAATCGTCAGTGGCAAATTCTTTATATATAAAAAAAGTACTTACAGTCTGTGAGTCAGAACAGCCGGCATTGTGGTCTACTCTGCCAGGATCAGGAAATAGTCCTCCATAAAATGCGCTGCGCACATCTGAATATTTGGGTTGTACTGTTCATACAACTTGACCACTGATTTCTAGTCGTGTCTTCTTTTGGAAGGCCAAACAAAGTAGTTTCGCTCTCACAACGAAACACACCGCGGCCTTGAGTGAGCGGAGGCCACCTAGAATGAGCGGCAGTCGGTGGGCTTGAGAATGGCGCGGCCGGCAGATTCGACGAAGGAGTGTCCGGAGGGCTTGCGGCAACCACATGTGACGACCCCGGGCTGAACTCCGCTTCGTCCACGGTGAAAGCCGATCCGGCGATCCACAGCGTGAAGTTGATGCATTTCCTCAGCAAACAGCACGGATCAGCTCTAGGCATGATGAAGCGGATATCATCCTCTTTTGGAAGGCCAAACAAAGTAGTTTCGCTTTCACAACGAAACACACAGCGTCTTCACGACATGGCGGCGGCAGCAACAATACTACAGCGAGAATAAAAGTTACGCCTTCTTTCTTTGCGTGAACATTTGGGCGGCGTTATGTAAATCTTCCCACATAGTGAGGTAGACATGTGGGGGCGTGCTCAAACGAGACGTTTTAGGTAGGCGTGGTTGACTCTGAACTTTTATAAAGAATATCTCTTTGGATTTGAGACTTTAATTTTTGCAACTTTACAGATCTTCTTTATGCACCAAGAGCTTGTAACACTCCAAAGAGAAAGGAAACATTTAAATTGCATCATATGACCCCTTTAACTCTAGTACTGCAGAAGCACATGACCTACATTACTGCCAGAGGCAACAGAAGTTTAAGGAAAAGCTACAAGCCAAACCTAGTGAGTTGCCTACCTAGACAGCATTTTGGCTGCCAGGTGTGTGCAGCACATGTAGATGTCCAAAAATGCTGTCTAAGCAGGCAACTCATTAAAGAGTGTTTGAGTGGCAGCAGCAAATGCGGGGCAGGAAAGGTGAAAAATCTGAACACAAAGACAGTGTCTGAAAAAACTAGTGAATTATGGCAGTGCTGAATTCTGGATGCACTAAAACGCAAACTAAGAAGACCTTAATTCAGAAATATATAATAAAAAAAGAAAGGGTGGAGGTGCGTAGTATATTGTTCAGTCATCCGTTCGAATTAAAAGAAGCCTTGTGTCCACGTTTTATATTAGACAAATATATTATATTTACAGTAGGGCAGGTATTTACAGTGATCAGACGCAGCCTGACACATGTGTACTTCACGCTTTGGTCACACTTTACAAATCAACACTGTCAACTCAACTGACAACCTGACAACTACAACCAATTCTTTCCGAAACAAAGTGAACGATTATAAAGCGGATAGTGCCTCAGCTGAAAGCGATCAAGGATCATAGGTTTCTTGTCTGATTGGGTTGGGCAGATAATAGTTAGTCTGTTAGTCTTCATATCTATAAGTTACATGGCAGTCAGTTAAGCTAGCTGTCCTGCTTGTAAACATGAAATGCATTACATTACCTGTCCTCCGTGAGTCTGATGAAATGCTGTGGAGCGTCAGCTCACTGTGCAGAGATGCGAGAGTGTATCCAAATCGGATTGACGCTCATTTCTGTGTGATTTAGAAAGAATATGAATATGTTGTCAACGTTACACAAATGTCTCTCTCCTTATGTCCTTGCCCAGCGCCTGTCTGCGCTACTGCGCATGCGTCCATCGCCCTCTAGAAGCGGACTCTGCCCGTTACAGCGGCATCCAGCGGCGAACGCGACATACTGCAAGACGCTCACGCCCGTTATGAACTATGGCGGCTTTCTCTTTTCAAAGTAAAAGTCTTAAATTGTCATGAAAGAGCAACAACTTTATTTTCAAATTTTATTACAGTATTTTAGATGTTATTTTCTCAGTGAGAATTCATATTATATCATATTATATTATATTAGGTCACACTGTAATATCAATTAACAATATATGGGTCAGTCTTTGGCTTATGTAAGTTGCTTGTAATATTGTGCATATTTTTATTGCTACTATAGTAAGTACATGTAACGTGTAACAAGGACACTAAAATAAAGTGTAACAAATATTATATTATATTATATTATATTATATTATCTACGGTAGCAGACATGACTTTGACTTTTTCTTTGAAATCACTCGTTTCTGGCAACGCCAGTGCAATACCTTGGGCGGCCGGAGTGAGGGAGTGGCGCTGTCGCAAACCGAGCTCCCGGCGTTTGAGTGTGTGTAGCAGTGCGCGGATAGGCCGCATGTGATGTGAGCTACAGTGTGCTCGTGTGCATTGTCACCTGTGATACATCCTCGAGTCTCATTTTAATACCGTATTTTCATTCCTTGCGAGAAAAAAGGTTGAGCAGAAAAATGCCCAAGAAATCAAAAGAAGTCGCTGAGTGGGAGGGGGATGATGAACCACAAACAGGTACGTTAAGATTGTGGGTTTCTATTACACCACAGTCTCATAATAATAACGACATGAAAATGATGCAGCTATATTGTAGACGTTTACACGATGACAGCTCTGCTATTAATGCTCTGCTATGTGTAGTGGAGATACAGAGGTTGTGCTTTATTATATTGCCGTTATGTTATGTTTTGCTTTGCTTAGCCCATTAGCCTACGACAGAAGTGAGTTTATGGTGGTGCGGAGTTTGCTATTTCACTGTCATTGCATCATTTTGCCAACCTGATATCATTTAAGACCATATTCGCTGTGTGATCCATGTTTCCAAATCTAGCGATTTTTTTGGGAACATACCCGTGCTGCCCAAAAAAGCTGTCTAGGTTGGCAGCTCTAGCTTTTTTGAAAGCTCTTGTTTTAAATCCTGTACACAAAGCACTCTTTCTTTGGCATTGTCATACTGCTGTTAATAGCGCGTGTTCATTTGAGTCTGTTCTGTGTGTTTGTGTGTACAGAAGTGCTTAACAGAATGATTTTTGGTTGTTTAGACAAACATGTCAAAAAAGGAAAGAAGGATAAGCAGGGGAAGAAAAGTGTAAGTTTTCGGTTTCGTTGATTCATGACTGATTTGCTATAACTTTAATTGTTAACAACATTATGCTTAAAAGATCAAGAATTCGTTCAAGTGCGAAACAAAAATGATTGAATCATTCTATAATGTTTTTTGTCAGTTACCCCTATTAATATTTCATTAATAATTGCCAAAATAATAATAAATGCATTTTAAAACTCATACCTCTGACATCTGAATTGTTGTACGCATATTTCTGTATTTTTATATTTTTTAATTTCATCCTTAGTTTTTTGAGGAGCTGGCATCAGATAATAAACCAGAAAAAGTAGAACAGCCACCAGTGAAAGCGGCACAAGGGAAACAGGTGCATTGTTTTAATTTCAGTGTTTTTCAATACGTTATATAAAGTAAAAAATATATATATTTAATTACATTTAAAATATATTTAAACAAAGATATAAACAGTCAAATATGTTATATTTTTGGATTGCCTTCTCATTTTTAGCCTCAGAAGAAAAAGAAGGACAGACGGAAATGGAAAGCGGGTGAGGATGAGGATGAGGATGATGATGAAGCAGAGGTCATGCAGCGCCTCAAGAAGCTGTCAGTCCAGCCCAGTGATGAAGATGAAGAAGAGGAAGAGGGTAATGTCAAAAATAGGGCTGTGCGATATTGAAGAAAAATGCGATATCGATATGCGATAACTCATTAAATAATGCGATAGTCGATATCTATCCTTAGTTTTTTGAGGAGCTGGCATCAGATAATAAACCAGAAAAAGTAGAACAGCCACCAGTGAAAGCGGCACAAGGGAAACAGGTGCATTGTTTTAATTTCAGTGTTTTTCAATACGTTATATAAAGTAAAAAATATATATATTTAATTACATTTAAAATATATTTAAACAAAGATATAAACAGTCAAATATGTTATATTTTTGGATTGCCTTCTCATTTTTAGCCTCAGAAGAAAAAGAAGGACAGACGGAAATGGAAAGCGGGTGAGGATGAGGATGATGATGATGATGAAGCAGAGGTCATGCAGCGCCTCAAGAAACTGTCAGTCCAGCCCAGTGATGAAGATGAAGAAGAGGAAGAGGGTAATGTCAAAAATAGGGCTGTGCGATATTGAAGAAAAATGCGATATCGATATGCGATAACTCATTAAATAATGCGATAGTCGATATCTGATACAATAATGCTTGAAGTGCCACATGCTCAGATGAAACAGTTTTACTCCGCTGTTGCTGAGTCAGTTCTGTGAACTTCTAGAACTATCTTGGATTTTAGCAAATGACTGCAATATAACAAAGAGTGAAAAATTTAAGCGGGTCTGAATACTTTCCGTACCCACTGTATGTATGTATCAAGAGCTCCTGTAAAACTACAACAAATTCCTTGTGTTTGCGCACACTTAAATGGTGAATGAAGCTCATTCTGATTCTGATTCTGATTTAATATAAGTAGCATACATGTTTAACTTTTTGTGAGAAGAAAGCACCCCTATAATAACTTCTGAAAGTGAACGGTAGTGCTTTACTCTAGCATTACATAAAAATTTCATTTTAACATTAGTGTAATCATTTTAAAATGAGTTTAGGAACTGAATAATAAAAAGGAACAATACAACACTGCTTAGTATTTACTCTATGAATTCAATAGGCACTGATCCTTATTTAAGCTACAAAAGTTATTTAGGTAAGAGCAGTGAGTTATTTTTCTCTTTCTCATTGTCTTTTGTTCATGGCCCCATATATTGCAAGCCGTAGCGATATGCATATTGCGATATGTACATCTGGGCTATTTCGATAATTTCGAGATATTGCACAGCCCTAGTCAAAAACTTAGTTTGTGCCAGTATGTGTCACACATCACACACCACATATTTAACATCATGGTTTATTTTTATTTTGCAGTAGTTGCTCCAGTCAAAGGAGGAAAGAAAAACAAAGTGAGTTGCTTTGACATACTATTTGACATACATACTTTGTGGACAGAGTCATTTTCCTCCTGCTGAACAATGTATAGAATGGTGCAATTTAAATCATGTGATCCAATCTAGATGATGCAACACAGAACTTTGAGAATTTTTTTGTCCATCTCTTTCTATCAGGGTGGCAACATATTTGCTGCTCTGAGTCAGGGGCAGAGTGATGATGATGATGATGGTGGTGCTGATGATGATGATGATGATGAGAAACCCCAAAGCAAGAAGAGCTCAAAGGTGCGTGCTTCCCGTTTCAGAGTCAGATGTTGTAGGTTGAGTTTGTATGCACAAGTATAGAACAAGTTTTATGATGCAAGACAAGTCCATTTTATTTATATAATCAGGGGTGCACATAAGTGGTACGCAGGTGTGCAACAAAAGGTCCAGACCACTCATTTACGTACCAACATGGTTGACCGCTGTTAATGCACAGTTACAATTTTAGATCAACAAACTGTAATATTGTATGAGCATTCTGTTCGAACTGAGAGCATATATCTAGGCTATCCGCTGCCATTTTCAAAACACAAAGCAAAACTGTGACATTTCACTCACTGACGCTCTTACTTGCCGGCAACACGCCACAATAAAAGCTTGCTGATTTTAAGTTTGAAAATCATGAAAAGTCATATTTAAAAAAAAAAAAAAAAGTAAATATTAGTATTTAATTTTTAAGTTTACTAAAAAATAATATTATTTTTTATTTAATAATCCCTTTTTATTTTAAAATATAATCATATTATCACACTTTATTATTTTAAAATAAAATAAAGTGCAATAATATTATCACTATTATAATTTTTTATAGTTATTATTTAATGGGTCACGCACTATGTGCAGTGTGAGCACCAAACTAAATTTTGAGAACCAGGCTGAAAAACGTATGTGCACCCTTGTATATAATGCTTTATACAATACAACTTGCTTCAAAGCAGCATTACTATTTTATTTTATTTTTTAAGATTTAAGGTTAAAAGTAGGCTTTTTCATTTTGCACTTTTTTTCTTTATACCATTTAAATTTTTTATCCACACTAATTAAAATAACAAATGTTTTTTTACAAGTGAAAATATACTATGTAGGCTCTAAATTAATATGAGACCATAAAATGCATGTGTAGCAATAGGCACTAAAAGGTATAATGCTGTTTAAAATAGCATTATATGGAGTATAAATAATTTTTCATATCCATTTTCTTGAGAAATTGCATGGAAAACAGTGATTATTTAATTCATATTTGCATATTGTCTTAGTAGTTATTAGTGACTGTTTGTACCATCACTGTTCATTATATTATCTTTACAGCATCATCAGATTTGATGGACCTAACCATAGCACATATGAATCACACACCACATAACTCATCTTTTTGAGTTTATTCCTCTTTCATTCCTTTATATCCGCTCTCTCTTCATGACATTCCCAGTGGAATTCATACCGTTTGCATTCACTCATTTGTGCCAGTGCGCTCATTGTTTCAGTCATTAAAACATAGTTTGTGATAGATACAGTAGGGAAGAACATATTGGGCTGCATATTGAATATATCTACATTTATAAGCACATGTGCCTGTTTCTGTATGTGTATGTATGTTATTCAGGAAGTTGAGAAGGTAACCAAGAAAAAAGATAAGGCTAAACCTAAGATAATGAAGGTGGGTACATGGGATTGTTTCTTATTCAGTTTTCCTTCTTCAAAATTCACATATTCTGTCTTTCTTCCACCTTGCGGTTTTTTCTTTATTGCTGCATGACGGAAGTGCTTCACTCATCATGGAAACTAACCCTTTTCTGTACATTCCAGTCTGCCTAACTAACATTGTGTTTGATTGGTGAGCGGTGCTCTGATTTTTCCTCCAGGATCTTTGGTTGACTCTCTTCTCTCAAACACAGGAGGCCTCAGAGGATGAACAAGATGAAGAGGTGGAGAAGAAAGATGAGAATGAAAAGAAAGGAGGGAACAAGGGCAAGAAAGTCGCTGCTAAACCACCTAAGGTGTGTGACTCTTGTTTTGATGAATACAAGTTGCTTTGAAAAGCCAGTTAAAAAAAATGCAAGTGTGTGCAACCTGAAGGGCATCTTAATGTTGACAGGAGGAAGATAAATTTGAAGAGAAAGAACAAGAGAAGACTCAGAAGAAAGGCAAGAAGGAACAGCCCAAGGTCAGATTAAGCCGATTAAGTTTCTGTATATATTGCTATGTATAAAAATATGCATATGCATTCTTTGTGATTTGGAATCTCGCTTAAGATGACTGAGTTGAGTATTATTAAAGTTTCAAATGTTTTCTATTTGAATATATTTTAAAATGTAATTTATTCTTGTGATCAAAGCTGAACTTTCAGCATCATTACTCCAGTTTTTAGTGTCACATGATCCTTCAGAAATCATTATTATATGCTGATTTGCTGCTCAAGAACATGTTTTATATTATTATTATCATCATCAGTGTTGAAAATTGCTTAATATTTTTGTAGACTCCCTGATACTTTTTCCGGATTTTTTCCGAAAGAAAGTCAGTGCTTGTTGAATGAAAATAAGTGTTGTAGTAAAATGTCCCAAGTTAAATATCTTTTTTTGTGATTTGTAGAAAGGGAAGCCTACTCGCCCTCCTCCTAGTGATGATGAAGAAGAGGAGGAAAAGAGTGATGAAAATAACACAATAATGGTACAATCATTTTCTCTTTTTGCATTCTTAATATTCACATTTTCCAAAAGTAATTTTTTTGGGGGTAAAAATCCTGTTTCCTGTCCCGTAGAGTGCCGAGGATGTGCTCGCGGCTGAGCTGGCTAAAGAGAAACAAGAGGACGACCCCTTTGCTAACTTGAGTAAAAAAGAGAAGAAGAAGAAAAAGAAATTGGTAGCGTATGCACATTTTAAATACTCTAATGTATGTTATAGAAGTGTTATTTTTACATTATTTATATACTATTGTTGTATTTATTTATTTTTCATTTTGAATTAGCTTTTTTTTATGTTTTCGTTTAAATTTTCGTTTTATTTTTTTTGTGATGTGCTCATGTCATTTTATATAAATACACTGCCGTTCAACATTTTGTGATTAGTAAGATTTTTTATGTTTTTTGAAGAAGTCTCTTCTGCTCATCATGGCTGCATGTATTTGATCAGAAATACAGAAAAAATTGTAATATTGTAAAATATTATTACCATTTAAAATACTGGAGACTGGAGTAATGATGCTAAAAATTCAACTTTGATCGCAGCAATAAATTATGTTTTAAAGTATATTAAAATAGAAAACCATTATTTTAAATTGCAATAATAATTTACAATATTACTGTTTGTTCTGTATTTCTGATCAAATAAATGCAGCCATGATGAGCAGAAGAGACTTCTTCAAAAACATAAAAAATCTTACTGATCACAAACTTTTGAACGGCAATATATATGCACAGTATATGTATATATGCATGTATATATGTGTGTGTGTGTTTTAGTTAGTGTAAGTAATTTTAGTACTTCAACTTATTATTACAATTGTTTGTTACTTTCCTAGGCAACATTTCTAATCTTTGTTTAAGGTTTTCTGTCTAATATTTATATTTTAGGCTGTTTTTAATAACCAAAATAATGGTTTTAGTTGACAATAACAACACCGATTGTAGACACTTCCTCTTGTGTTGTGCAGATGGAGTATGAGCGGCAGGTGGCTAGTGTACGAGCTCAGAATGCCATCGAGGGAGACTTCTCCATCTCTCAGGCTGAGCTGTCCTCTCGACAGGCCATGCTGGAAAACGCTTCGGACATCAAGGTTAGGCAAATGGGAAACTTTCATTTGAGACATTGAAAAGCACTTAATACTGTGTACTCATTTCTATGATCTGTTTTTAGTTGGAAAGATTCAGCATTTCAGCCCACGGTAAAGAGCTGTTTGTTAACGCCGACCTTCTGATTGTTGCTGGGAGGCGATACGGTCTGGTTGGACCAAATGGGTGGGTTGATGATGGTTTAAATTTGACACATTACTTTATTACTGCATTGCATTGCATGTAAGGCATTGTTCAGTTCGGAAGTGTTTCTCTAGTAAAAACTGTATTCTTACACCTGTATCCTGTTTGAACCAGGAAAGGGAAGACCACTCTACTGAAGCACATTGCTAACAGAGCACTTAGCATTCCTCCCAATATCGATGTGCTGCTTTGTGAGCAAGGTAATGTACAGCCCAAATGTGACCCTGGAGCACAAAACCAGTCTTAAGTCGCTGGGGTATATTTGTAGCAATAGCCAAAAATATTAAGAAAATTGATTTTTCTTTTATGCCAAAAATCATTAGGATATTAAGTAAAGATCATGTTTCATGAAGATATTTTGTAATATCAATATTAAAACTTAATTTTTGATTAATAATATGCATTAAGAACTTCATTTGGAAACTTTAAAGGTGATTTTCTCAATATTTAGATTTTTTTGCACCCTCAGATTCCAGATTTTCAAATAGTTGTATCTCGACCAAATATTGTCATATCCTAACAAACCATATATCAATGGAAAGCTTATTTATCCAGCTTTCAGATGATGTATAAATCCCAATTTTGCAAAATGTACCCTTCTCGACTAGTTTTGTGATCCAGGGTCACATATATATTAGTGTATTATTAATATTTAGAATTTTAATGTTTATGTATTTTCACTTTAATTTGTTAATATTTAGGTGATTTTTATGTGTTTTTGTCATTCAGTATGTGTTTGCTTTTTTAAATTGTCAATATAATTTGTATTTATTTTTATGCCATTTTTAGTTATTTTAGTACATTACAAATGTTGCCTACTAGCTGAAATATTTTATTTCAAGTAAAAATATTTCTCATGGTTTTAGTTAACTATAATAACCCTGGTGCAGCCTATGTGTCCAACTTTTTTAATTTGAGCCATGTATTTTGTGCATGATATTTTTTCTCTTTGTCATTCCTCAGAGGTGGTGGCGGACGACACTCCTGCAGTTCAGGCAGTGCTGAAGGCCGACACGCGCAGACTGAAGCTCCTGGAGGAGGAACGGCAGCTACAGAGTCGACTGGAGAAAGGAGACGACGGCGTGTCTGAGAGACTCGACAAGGTCAGATTGAGAGCAGCTCGCTGAGATTCTCTAAATACACTGATCCATGGAGTAGTGGAGGATAACTGTGAGTAAGGGGAAGAAGAAAAGTCAGGAGGAGGAGAGCCATGAGGCCACAGAGCTCCTCAAGAGGCCGAGAGAATATACCGTCAAATTCACCTTCCCGAACCCTCCTCCGCTCTCACCGCCTATTCTCGGCCTGCACAGTGAGTCTTTTGTGACTTTCACTCATTGTAGCATCTTGTTTTTATCAAACCTGACGACCAGTTTGGTGTATTCTCTCTTCCACTCACAGGTGTTGACTTTGGTTATGCAGGCCAGAAGCCTCTGTTCAATAATGTGGACTTTGGTATAGATATGGATTCCAGAAGTAAGTCACACGTCTATAGAAATTATGACTAGCAGGTTAATTACAACGGCACAAGACAATGTTAGAAAACTCTAATGGTTTTCAAATTAGCTTGAGTTAACGCTCTCTGTTTCAGTATGTATTGTTGGACCCAATGGAGTTGGGAAAAGTACACTCCTCCTGCTTTTGACTGGAAAATTAAATCCTGTAAGTACCACTTATTTTTAAGTAAGTTGTAAAAAAAACAAAGATGAAAATTAAAAAATATATCATATTTATTTGAGGAAAAATTGGTACTTGTTTTTTCCCATGTTTGTTGATTTGTTTCCTTCATATAATTAATTATGAAGCTTCTTTTTTTTTTCATTTTAGACAAAAGGAGAGATGAGGAAGAACCATCGATTGGTACGGCAGATGTTTAAAATCATTCTTTTTATCATTCTTTTTATTTGACCTTTTCTTGACTGGCTAATTGCTTCGTTCTTCTGCCTCTGCCTGTAGAAAGTAGGGTTCTTCAACCAGCAGTATGCTGATCAGCTGAACATGGAGGAGTCTCCCACAGAGTACCTCCAGAGGAACTTCAACCTCCAATACCAGGATGCCAGGAAGTGCCTGGGTCGCTTTGGGTTAGAGAGCCACGCACACACCATCCTGATCTCCAAACTGTCTGGTAAGCACTATAGGAATGCATTCATGTATGATTTTCAAAGGGGGGGGATGGGCGCGTCCTTCAGCACGCAGAAGGTCGTCTCGAGCGCGCGCGACAGGAGCGCGTGACCATCCACTCCATTGTTGTGTTGAAAGAAACGCCCGAAAGCGCGCGCACGAGCCCCGGGTGACGCGAAACACGTCAGAACTATATATACCGAGTCCCGCGCGTCCAGCGCATTCCTGGATTTGTCTGAGGTAAGTGCCGTGTCGGAGGGCGGTTCTCCACCTTTTGCGATTTAAAAGACTATTTTTATCCCGAAGTCCGGCTACCACGTGTTTTTTTTAATCAACAAAAACGACTTTTCGATTATTCTCTGGATTTCCGCCGCCAAATACTCGTTTTCTCTAACGTCTCTTTGTGCTGTTGTTTCGTTTCAGGTCTGAGTCGGTCTCAGTGGAGATCTGGCGTCGAGGATTTTTCAACTGTGTGCGAAGACCAAAGCCCCAAAAAACTCAGTTTTTCTACTCGAGTAACGGACATTCGCTTACTACTTTTTTGCTCCAGATTGTTCAAGAAGGAAAAGCTCAATTTCAGCCACCACAATCCCGCCCATTATGCCATTTTTCAGCCAACAATGCTAAAGTCATGACAGTTTACGTTCTCTTAAACTGTTAAAGCGCTGAAATTTGTTGCTGTTAAGCACAATATATTAATAGCAACCCGAGACGCAGAGGAGAGGTTTTAATAGTAAGTGTTCTTTCAAACCAATTTGAATCGAAACTACGTAACGGTTAACCAGTTGTCTGTGTTGAAAATGATTCCAGATATAACTTAGAGCTGAACAATTCCTAGCTGAATCGAGCGTGGCGACCTAACTTAACTGCGCCACAGTTTCTAGAAGCAGACAGACAGCATGCTGAGATAAAGCGAGACTAGTGTATGAGCTCACCGCAAAGCCAGAGCAGCGGCTTCAACGCCCTGCTCCTCTTTGTGTGTGAGACGGAGCAATCCTAATGGTTATTAAAGTAGCGATAAATCATCGAATAATAAGCTAGCCATCGCTAGTCATAAGCAATCTGTACATAAAGATTGCCATAGGCAGAGCCAGGAAGTGACTGCATTCAATTGGGGCTTTTTATAAACTGCATTCTTTTCAAAGGAGAGCTCACTGGAACAACCAACGCAATCTGCACATAAAGATTGCCAAGTGGCGCCTGTGGATTTAGCCGAACGGGGAAAACAGACTGAAATGCAATATTTTGTTCATAATGTCGTTAGGTGTTAGTAGTTGGCGGAGCTGGATACCGTTGAGCTAGTTTGGTGAAATAAACCTCCCTAGGCAATGATAGTTTATACAAATGCATAGCAGTCTGACTATAAAGATTGCATTTTTTGTGTTGTGTGCTTAACGAGTGCGTAACGTTAGATAGGGTATTTGTCTTGTCGCTTTTGCTTTAAAATGGCGGACGGGTTGTCGTTTGCTCGGATCACTCGAGGCAATGGTGGCTTTGTTTTTCTGACTGGATCTACGGGAAATACTGTAGCTCGGGACGGCTGTCTCGCGTCGCCAGCATCCCCATATACAGCTCGAGGTGTCGTCTTAATATCCGTGAGTCGCTAGCGGGGTAAATATAGTAGCACTTTGTAAACGAGCAAGACAAATGCGAGGCGGGGGGGGAAATAGCCGTTGTATTTTTAAAAACTTGTTGGAATTCAAAGATGGCGACCGGGCAACCGTTCTGTCGAGCGCAGCGCGTACGCGAAGGCAAGTGGTTAAAGATAGTGGGTGTGGTTTATCTCTGACTCGGCCAATCAGAGAAGCCGCTGTCAGACGTTATATGAGAGAGGGAGACTTCGACAGATGGCGAATCAAATCCCCTGGTGGCCACTATTGAGTAGATGTATAAATTCATATACCGGCCTTTGGTCAGACCAACACTGAATGCTTTGTGTTGACGAGTTCTAACACAAAACCTTTGGGCAGTTATCTTAAAGATGCCAGGTGTTTATGTAGCACTGGATTAAAAAGTGAAAGCAGGTGACATGGTTTTGAACACGATGTAGGAAGATTATTATACAGGACAGGGTGTAGTGTAACTTTAAACAGTGTGTTTCTTCACATCTGCATTTAATCAAAAACTTGACAGATGCCATGCTAATCTTTTCTTTCCAGTGAATGTACACTCTTGTTGACTTTTCCTTGTTTGTTGTGACAACTGTGACGCTTCCAGGAATTGTGTGTATTGTTCCGTGTTTAAGGAGCTCGGTTGTGACTATAAAACGTTCTTCAACACAACAGTGTTACGGGTAAGACCAAACCTGATTTCTCACACGATCCAAAGTGCCATTAGTAGACCTTTTTCAAACGTTGCTAAACCCTTGCATGCTTAACAGTCGTACAAATCTACATTGGTTCGGTGCATATATTTCTATTTCATTTGTAATTCGCCCCGTTGTTCATTTTCTGCTGTAGTTAGTTGGTTGGAGTCGCCGGTGTCCAGTCAAGTGTGCTGTAGTGAGAGGAACTGAAGGCAGAAATAATCACTGATGCTCTGCGTGGGCAGACTAAGGCACTTAAAAAAATCATTTTGTGATTTATTTATTTTTTCCCCACCTAGTGGTTCTAGACTTCTGTATACCTAAAACATACTTAAAAAAAAAAAAAAAGGTCCAGTTAATGTACTGACATTTTAAAACCTGCATTATGTTACTGGAAAATATTTCAAGCTTACTGTTTAAAATCAGTATACACATTGGTCCCACTGTATATTATATTAGTATTTAACTACTATGTACTTACAGCAAAAAAACAAATAATATGTGTGTTTTTAAATTTTGTGTTTATTTGGTGCATTGTATTTATTGTGCTCATGTTGTTTTGCACAGCATTAAGGTAAGGTTAGTGATATGGTTAGGTTGGGTGGATTCAGGGATAGGGCCTGTAGATGCAGTTACAGAAATAATTACATGCAGGTATTTTTTAAATATAAGTAAAATGTATGTATTGTGTAAAATTAGTAATTTAAGTGTTAAAAATGAAATTAAAAGACACTTGAGCTAAAGTGGGTTCAACACATTTTATGTCCATCAGCATTATAACCACGGCCCATAAAACTCTTCACGCATACCCCCGCAGTCTTCTAACACCTGTTCTTTGTCTGTTTTTTTTTTTCTTCGCTCGCTCTCTCTCTCTCTCTCTCTCCTACTAGAACAACACAGCCAAGCTGGTGAAACATCTGAGCAAGAGCGCCGAGACAGAAGGTAAGAGCACATGCTCCATGAATAAATGCCAGACAGTCTGCTTTACTGTCTTCCAGAGCTCAGGTTTGAACTCTGTGGCTTCTCTTTCTCTCAGAGCTGAGGAAGCTGGCGTCAGTGCTGGTGGAAGGCTGGATGGCTATTATCCGCTCTCAGAGCGTCTCCAGTGCAGCATCACCCAATGGTAGGGTTTCCAGTTTACATTGTCTTCTATGTCACTCTGGTTTTTGTTAATGACTTGCTGCACTTTTAACTTGAATTATTGGCAAGTGGGCTTCCCATTATTGACGAATAACCCAACTGTGTTTTCCATCAGACAAGAAACGGAAAAAGGAAGATGGAAAAGTGCGTCCAGAGGTGAAGCCCCGAGAAAAGGGAGCAGATGAGGAGAAGAAGAAAGACAAACCAAAAGCTTATGCTCCAAGTCACGCAAAGATCCGTTCTACAGGTTAGTCACAGTGTTATTCTAGTTTTATTTATATCATATTATAGTGTTTATTCATATTTTAAATTAGTTTTTTGTATTTCCATTTTTCATTATAATTTAGTTTTAGTAATTTTATTTTTTGTGATTTTTATTTTTTTATTAGTATTTGTATTTAACTTGTTTGTTTTTTTTAGTACTTTATTTATTTCAGTTAGTTGTCAAGGCAACATTTATATTTTTTTGTTTAAGTTGAGGGGGGGGGGTATATTTCTGGTTATTGTTTTCAGAATTTTAAAACCATAAATTTTTAATGTCTGTATAATTTATCATTTATAATAGATATGCAATTTTTGTCTCCGTAACATTTATACCTGGTTTTAAAGTTCTTGTCTCAGAAACACATTTTTAAAAATGATCTGTTTAAATTTACTCTAAACATTGTGTCTTCAGGTTTGGAGGTGGAGGGTCCAGCTCCAGTTCCTGTAAAGAAAACCCCCACTGCACCCCAACTTGGAGACAAATACAACATCAAGCCAGCTGTTCTTAAAAGACCAAAGTAAGTGGACACCCCATTTCCTTCTTGAAAATAATGAGCAGTCAAATGGAATCCAGAAATCCGGGATGATTTGAATGCAGTTTTACTTCAAAGGGTTTGAAATTAATCATTAAACTCTGACTTTGTTTATTCAGCACATCGCCGACTGACGCACCACCAGTGGAGAAGAAGTACAAGCCCCTTAACACCACCCCCAACTCTGCCAAAGAGATCAAAGTCAAACTTATACCCCCACAGCGTGAGTATGCCCATTTAGCACCTGCAATATGATTATGATAATCTGCAAAAAAGCTTTAAAATGCTTAAAGGAGAGTAGAGTTTCCCCTCCGACTGGTGTATAATATACGTCTCTCTTCCTTTTAGCGATGGAAGGCACTGGATTTTTGGATGCCCTTAACTCCGCTCCAGTGCCTGGCATCAAGATCAAGAAAAAGAAAACAAAAGCAGTTTCCCCTACCACTAACAAGGTGTGCCACATCAGACTACCCTCACTTGTGTTTGTGCTTCATGGATTTTTATTTTCCGCAGACTAAAATCACAAAAATATTCACAAATTCTCTTGTGCTCCACAGCCCTGTCCATTTGACAACAGGCCGCAGTCATACTCAGGCACACAGGCCAAAGCATCTTCCCCTGAGACGCCCTCATCTCAGACACCTCCTCATGAGAGCCAAGACCTGGAGCAGCCTGGCACACCCGTGCCCACCGAGGACCCTGATGCCATGGAAACCGGTGAGTCCAGTTGCATAGAAACTGGCCACAGCCTCACTGAGAGCCGTATGAATTTAAAATGCCTTATTTCGTGTTTTAAGGTGATAAACCCAATGCACTGTCTGAACCTCGCGGTGAGGAGGAGAGTCTGACTAAGAAAGGAAAGAAAAAGAAAAGCGTTCGGTGGGCGGAAGAGGATCATCTCAAAGAATACTTCTACTTTGACCTGGATGAGACTGAGAGAGGTAAAGCAACACTTTCTTCACTTACACTGCTGTTTAAAAGTTTGAGGTCTGTAAGGGTTTTTTTTCTTTTTCGAAAGAAGCCTCTTTTGCTCACTAAGGCTGCATTTATTTGATACAAAATACGGTAAAATAAATATAAAATAATAATATTATGAAATAATATTACAATACAAAACTATTAATATATGAAAATTATTGTGAGAGTTGTTCAATACTAATAATCATAACTCTTTATCCCTCTACATCAGTGAATGTTAATAAAATTAAGGACTTCGGTGAGGCAGCTAAACGGGAGCTGATGATGGACAGGCAGACGTTTGAAATGGCTCGTCGTCATTCTCACGACACCATGGAGGAGAGGGTGCCCTGGACTCCTCCGCGACCCTTGACCCTCATAGGCACCCTGGTCATTCATGGTTCCACCAGCAGAGAGAAGATGATCCAGAGAGATAGAGAGATGGGCATTCTGCAGGAGATCTTCCTCAGCAAAGAGAGGTAAGACAACGCTTTGATGCCTTTCTCATGCGGTGTGTCATGTTTAGTGATTGTTAAGAGCATGACACAACATTCGCATCGCATTTAATGCCCACAATATATGGCGTATACAGTACAGACCCACATGATGTAGGCTGGGAAACCATTTGGATTTAACTGGAGAATAATACTACTTAGAATAATATAAATTGGCTTTTTTATATTTTCAGTTTTCATTTTAGTTTGTTAAATGTTTAGCAATTTTTTTTGTTACTTTTAATAGTTTTTTTTTGTATGTTTTGTAAAGAGTATTGCTCTTTAGGTTTAATTATTTTCATTTCAGATTTAGTATTTATTATTTATTTATTTTCAGTATGTTCTATCTTATATTTTACTTTATTTCATGTTTAATAAAAAGTGTTTTTAATAGATGTTTTAAACCCTTGCACAAATGAATCCTCCACATTGGTGAATAAAGTAAATGGGGTTAAAAAATGTATTTTATCTTGTCTTTAGGAGCTTTAAATAGACATATGGTTTGTTTCCCTCTCTGCAGTGTTCCAGACAGTCCTCATGAGCCAGACCCTGAGCCATATGAGCCCATGCCTCCTCGTCTCATCCCATTGGATGAGGTAAGACAGCCAATTACCTTTTTATAGGAATTCCCCTTCCAGTTCTCTTTCCTTTAATTTAGAAGTATCAGCTGTGGTATGTTGTTGACCTCTTCCTTCTTCTGTGGTGTTGTAGGACTCCAGTATGGAGGAGAATTACATGGAGCCCGCTGACCCTGCTGCCTCTGGCGGCTCTTCTGGCTCTAATGAAGGCTCCAAACTGCCTCCTGTTCTAGCTAACCTCATGGGAAGTCTGGGCAACAGCGGCCACAGCCCTCAGGCGCAAGGCAACGCCCCACCAGCCAGTAATAACCCTGCTGTTAATGTGCAGGAACTACTCTCATCTATTATGGTGAGACAAAATCCATCTATACATGTTATTTACCATGAGAATGTGTAGAGTCTTTGATTTTAAGTATCTCTTCTTGTTTTCAGGGTGCTCAGGGATCTAACCAGTCTCCAGAGGACCTGATCAAACAGCCTGATTTCTCAGATAAGATCAAGCAGCTTTTGGGTTCCCTGCAACAGAACCAGAACCAGAACCAGACTCAGAACCAGCCTGCTAATGTTCCGCCAAGTACGTGTTTGCTCTCAACTGTTGCAGTAGTTTATATACTATTGTAATATTTATTAATAATTTGAATTAGCCGTTTTGTATTTTCCGTTTTCAATTTAATTTGAGTTACATTACGTTTTAGCCATTTTGTTGTGTTTTGGGATTTAAAAAAAAAAATGTATTAGTTGTTTTTATATATTTTTTTATTTAGGTTTATTTTTATTTCAGTTTTAATTGAAATAATTGTAGTACTTCGATTTATTTTATTATTCTTATTCTCGTTTTTATTCCCATTTTTATTTATATTGTATTCAATTTCTTGTTAACCAAACAAGAAATTGAATAGTTGTTTTTCAGTTAACCAAAACCTCAAGTGCTTAGTTTAAGTAATTTTGTTGTGTGCTTTTTGATTTATTATGACTAATTTATTGATTTTATTAGTTTTTTTATTTGGCTTTAAATTTATTTAAATTTCAGTTTTAGTTTAAATAATTGTGGTACTTATTAGTACTTATTTTATTTCAGTTAGTTGCCCATTAGTATATCTAATTAAGTTTTTATGTTTGTTTTTTCTGCTTTATTTCAAATGTTTGTAGTTTTGTAAAGTGCTTTTGTCTGTATGTGTTTTTTTTTTCATTATTATTAGTTTTTGTTTTTTAACAGGTTTTAACATGTTGAGGAATAACTGCATGGTGGTTAAGCAGCATATTTAATGTTCTGTTTCTCTCACTTCATAGTGAATACTGGTCTGCTTGGCCATGGCCCCGGCATGAACATGAACATGAACAACATGCCGATGCCCATGAATGGGGGTTTCCCTCCAAACAAGCCCCCTGGACCACATTTCAACCATCCTCCTCCTCCCCATGGCCACGGACCACCCTTCAACCCCGGCGGCCCACGCATGATGGGACCTCCGCCCGGTCCACAGGGCCGCGGGGCGGACAATGGCAACTACTGGGGCGACGACTCCATGAGAGGAGGGCCACACCGGGGAGGACACTTCCACCGGGGGAGAGGGAGAGGAGGAGATCCGGGCTTCAGAGGACGAGGGGGACGCGGAGGACCACGCGGGGGACACAACAACATGGGCGGTAAGTTTGACTGCCAAACGCTTTTCATTTTCCAACATTTAAAATGAGCATGCAAGTAATCTTTTTCTTTCATTTCAGACATGTCAAAGAGGCCAGTGTGTCGCCATTTCATGATGAAAGGAAATTGTCGGTATGAAAATAACTGTGCATTTTACCACCCCGGTGTAAATGGACCACCGCTCCCTCCCCAGCACGGACACTAACACACCGAAAACTGCTGTTCCTTGAACTCCCCACTAGTGGGCAACAGGACTCAAAATGAGCCTCGTGTACAGGAACTGAAACGGGATGTTTGTGTCTGTGACCGCACAATCCCACCTGCTTCATGAGGATCTGAACATGAATAGTTTCTTCTCCATTTTACACTAATTTCCCTCATCTGGAAAGCTGCGAGAAGATCTGAGATCCTCTATGAAGAGTCAGATAGTGTCTAAACCCATTACTTGACTTTGCGGCCTACATGTAAATAGTGCTTCCTGGAGATGGAGATTGATATGTATATTTTTATTGTGATTCTGTGTATTACTGACCTGACTGCTAAAGATTGTACTACATAACTCTGTAACCACTAGGACGAGGTGTAAATAATGGTCTTCAGCCAGTGGTGTACAGTGACTTAAGCTTCTCCTGGTGGCCAAAACACAAGATACTGGATGTGCAGTTCTCAAAATTATAATTGGCACGTCAGTTATTAGTGCAAATCGGATGTGCGAAATGAAATTTACACTTCCAAAAGATATTAGAGCACAGAACTTTTATTTTAAGATTCTTCTGGTTGAATTCAGTCCCTCTGAAGTTGCCGTACTGTTTGATATTTTATTTTCGGGTTTCTATTGAAGAGGGAGAAACCATACTTCTATGAAATGTGTAGATGCTGTCAAATTTACAGATCTGAATCACACATGGTCCTTCTTTTTTCATTTCATGATTTTTAGTTTCAAAAATGCTCTTCAAAGATACTCTGCAACACTGAAGTGCGTCCATGAATTGGCGTTATGTACATTTTACGCCCCAAATGGGAAATACTATAGGGATAGATACTATTCAGACCCATTACCTTTTGCATCTGGGCACAAAATACAGCATTTTTGAAATCCCGTTGAATACTTGAATTGATACATTGTGATGGAAAGTGATCCTAGCCTGCTAAAGAAAAAGTAACTGTCGTTCTGTGTCGTGTGACAATCAGGAGAATTAGTGCTGATTTCCTACTTGATGTTGATGCTATGGTTTGATTTGCTGTGCGTTCATGTTCTTGGACTCGTGTGGGTCTGTCCTGCTCTATCAGTGTTCAACTGAGCCTAACCTGGGCTACAAACCACTATCAAGGCCAACCGTATTCAGGTGTTTTCTGTGAAAACAGTGGCCATTGTCTCTTGTGGGACTCGATTTTCTTTTTCAGTTTTTGTTGGATTCACTATTTTCCCATGATTTTATTTTGATACAAGTCTGATGATTTTTTTTTTCTTCTATTATTGTTGGAGAGATGTCTATGTGTCAGAGCGCCGCATAAACACAATAAAAGGCACATTCAGAAATGTAAGGTGGTTTTCTAATTGTAAATTAATAAACGTTACGAAATTCACCAGAATGTGCAGTGTTTTCTCAAATTAACTTTTCAGAGCAAGTGTCAATATATAATGACCACTCCCTCTCGGTGCCTGTTTGCATTTTTAACCTCTAAATGCTTCATTGTTTGAATATGTCAAACAGGGTTACGTTAGGGTTCTTCGCAGTCCCACTGAATTTTCCTCCCTCTCTTATGGCAGTCCTTTGCGGGTGCGTTTGCCTTCCTGTCTGTCAGATCCGTGTTCTCAGGGCGGAGTCGGGTGCAGATGGCTGCTGGAGTGTGTGTGATCAGGAGTGGCCTGTGCACTCAGCCCTCAAGGACAAATATTGACTTCGGCTTCATAGAATTTCTGCCTGCGTGTGAGGTGCAGGATGAATAAATTAGAGTTAAGGACACCTCAGCAATTCATTCATCCTATGTAGCGTTCATTTCACTTTTACAAGCTTTCAGTGTGTCCTCAGCCACTGTACAGGAAAATCTTTTTTTTTTTTAAACCTACTTTGCTGTGCATAAAAACATCCAAGCAGTTTTGTGATCATGATGCTAAACTAGAATGCTGTTGTCAAGTATTGTTTTACATTCTTTTATGTCCTAGGAATGAATCTTTTTGTTAAATGTTTATTTCCACAAAATAAATAAAACAAGGTTTTTAAGATGTATTCAGACAAGCTCCTAGTTTTGGTAACAAATAAGTTTGCAAATAAATAATATTGTTCAAAAGTTTTGGGGTCAATTATTATATATATATATATAAAGATCAGAATTGAGAGTAAAAAATGCCACATTGTTACAAACTATTAAAATATATTTATATATTAAATGCAAAATTATGTTCCATTTATAATAAAATTAGTTATATATAACATTAGAATAAAACTAAAATGCATTCAAAAATATTTATATACTTATATAATATTATACAATATATTATATATTCATTTATACAAAATATTTTATTTCAAATAAATGCTGTCCTTTGGTCTTTCTGTTAATAAAAGATAACGTATCAATAATCAATAATGCATGGTTTCCACAGAAATATTAATCACAACTGTTTTCCCACATTGATAATAATCAGAAATGTTTCTTTATCAGCAAATCAGCATTTTAGAATGATTTCTGAAGGATCATGTGACACTGAAGACTGGCGTTTTTTTTTGCTTCACAGGAATAAATTACGTTTTAAAATTAATTAAAATAGAAAAACAATTATTTTAAATGCTAATAATATTTCAAAATGTTACAGTTTTACCTTTTTTATTAAATTAATGCAGACTTGGTGGGCATAAGAGACTTCTTTCAGAAAATTATTATATTAAATTATATTATTTAAAATTACGTTATTTTATTATATTACGTGAAGTTCTATTTTACTTTTTGCTATAATTATATGTTTGTTATTATTATTATTATTAGTATTATACATTTCCTGAAGGTTAAGCACCTTTTACTTTGACATAAGGATCAAAAAATATTTGACTTAGTTGACGCACATCCTCGGCTGTCTGTTGTTTGTGACAAACCTTTAGTTTGTAAGTCTGAGTAAGTCATACCTGTCATTTTCAGCACAATATAGTGACAGTGAAATGTCCAGCTGAAGTCATAAAAAGAGTGGATTGATTGAGTCTGAGTGGTGTTGGTTGTCGTGGAGGCCCTGACTCAATTCCACTCTGCACAAAGACGCCATTGATCCTCGGCTGCTCACATTATCCCACAGCCACTAGTGGAAAGAGGCTTTGTCAGGCCTTAGTTTCAGAGAAAGTCATTTTTCAGAGAAGCTGAAATGAGCTCCAAACACGCACCTCTCCAGCTCACCAGCAATGACTAGCTCCGGAGGTGTTAACATTGTCTATGTTTGAGCAACTCGACAGAGGATGTTACACAATACCGTCTACAACTGTCATTTAATACAGATATCAGTATCATTTCAAAACGATTAACTAAAATGTCACTTGCAATGCTTCTCCTTTATTAGAATTGATATTTTATAAAAGAAAAGAAAAGAAAATAGAGAAGAAAAGAAAATAATTAATTAAAAAAATAATAATAATAAAAGGTTGCACAGAAAAAAGCTGCACCACAATTCTTCGTCTTAAGGACACGTCAGTCTTTTCAAAGGAACAGTGTTCAAGAAACCTCCTTTTGAGCGCTTCATTAAGCAAATGTTTGAAGGGCAGGATTTCACCAGCAAAATAGACTATTAGGAATCCTGTATACAATACACACCCTATTATATTACACAGAACAGATTAGAATGCACTACTTAGTTAAAATGTCCAAACGTTCTTACATGCAGATGCAATTACAAATTGTTCAATAACATACAAAGATCATTCAAATCTGTCGATTGGTGATAATATGATAAAAAAATATGCATCAAGATATGCATAATAAATGGGTTTCTCATGCTAACACCACGTCATGCCTTAAATTACGAAAGCCCATTAATGTAGCCCTCTGACATCACGGATCAGAGCTCAGCCAATCCTAAAAAGCCCAATCATACCAGTCTTCAATAGCTTATCATGACTATCTGCTGACCTGTCTTTGGCGCCGAACCAAATAAAGGAGTTAATGCAAAGTTTGCTTGCAAAATAAGGCTGAATAGCATTAAAGCACTGAATCACATTCCAGAACAGAAGAGGGGTGGGCGGAGCTTCAGGTGAACAGGTATAAGAGCTGTACAGGTGAGAGAGAGACCAGGAGTCGAAGTCTGAACACACTCAGCAGGAAAGCCGAGAACAGGTGAGGAGCCAACATTACAGGGACTTTGTGCTGGTATCTTTCTCTGAAAGCTTTGCTGCAGGTTGTTTTCAAGCATGCAACACCACTAACTGCTGGGACTGATGTTAAAAACCATGCTTTGTCATATTGAAATGTTTCATTCTTTTAGCTCATGAAGATGCTTAAAGAATTACTGTCGGTGCTCCTGGTCCTGGTGACCTTGTCTTCTGCCATGGGGAAGCCTGAGAAGACCACTCCCAAGAAAGAGAAGAGGATTCCTCAGACTCTCTCCAGAGGTCAGCTTCATGAAAACATGCCAAAATATTATTTTGAGCGGCTTTTGTAAAACTATGGCTAAGCAGAGTGCTGAGCTGTTAGAATAACTGAAGCTGCATATCAACTATATATGCAAAAACTAGTTTAAGGAACAGTTTCGTCAAGGTTGCATTTAGAAATTATTCTAGTGCTTTATTGTGTGAAATGCTATCTCATGCCTCACTTTGTGCAATACTGATGTAGTAGCAGTTATCATCCACATCGGCTGAGTAGATGTTGGTTTTTAGGATTCATATTCGGTATTCTTTTCCTTTCAGGATGGGGTGATCAGCTGATTTGGGCACAGACGTACGAGGAAGCTCTGTTTTGGTCACGATCCAAGTGAGAAAAGCTTGTATTATATAGAATTATAGAGTATATGGTGTTCAATAATCAGTCATGTGTGCATATAAGGTCTATTGATGATTTTTGAGATAAAAAATTTTTTTACAACTTGAATAATCTGTTTAATTAGAAACAAGCCCCTCATGGTCATCTTTCATCTGGAGGACTGTCCACACAGCCAATGTAAGGCTTGACTTTTATTTTGACATTTTCACTGTAGGTTAGTTTAAAACTCTCAATTTGTTCTTCGTGTTTGTATTATTATTTAATGTTTATATGTTTTATATGATCTTATCAGCACTGAAGAAGGCTTTCGCTGAGGATAAAGACATCCAGAAGTTGGCTGATGAGGAATTTGTGATCTTGAACTTGGTGGTGAGTAACACTGTACTATTTATTAACATTAGACTTACTTAATTGCACTAGTTAAAAATATTCCCAAAGCATTTATTAATCTTAGTTAATGTTAATTTAACAAAATTAAACACTGCATATGTTAATAGCCTATTACTCAATGTCCAACATGAACTAACAATGAACAGCATTTTTTATTAACTAGCATTAAATAAGTACTGCGACAAATGTATCGCTCATTGTTAGTTAATGTATAATGTAGTTAATGTATTAATCTCTAGGTTCTAGTCTGTCTGTTATGTGTATGAATGTCTGTTAATGGAACTCTCTTGTTTTTTACAGTACGAGACCACAGATAAACACTTGTCTCCTGATGGCCAGTATGTTCCCAGAATCCTCTTTGTTGGTGAGTTGATTTAATTATGACTGATACATAAATAATGCTACACATTATGAAGTCTGCATAAATGATTCAAATACTTCTTGTTTTCCAGATCCCTCCATGACTGTTCGGGCAGACATCACTGGCCGCTATGCCAACCGCTTGTACGCCTATGAACCCAACGATATGAAACTCTGTAAGTCTGAAAGCTGTTGCAATGCCAACATTAGTTATTCCACGTCATCAAACTGACAGCATCATGCGTTTGGTTTTGTTTCCACAGTGTTGAGCAACATGCAAAGAGCCATGAAGTTTTTGAAGACAGAGTTGTGAGCACAAAAGCCAAGTCTTTTTGTCCACCAAAAGGACATTACTTCCCTGAGGGCCACTATTATTCTGTCATTTGTTTACTGACGGCATGAAACGCACTGTAAAGCCCTGTACAAAATTGAAATATGTTAGAGTAGATTGTTTTGGTAAACTTAAGGCTTTCTTTTCATGTTTTTTCAATAAATAAAGTTTCTTGAAAATTCGTTTATCCTGGTAATTTGTTTAAGCAGTTATGTTTGCACCGGTTATTCAAAGCAGAGGCCATGTGGGTTTTAAAGGGACAGTTCACCCAAAAATGAAAATTCAGTCATCATATACTCTCCATCAACTTGCTCAAAGCTTGCTTGAATTGATTTCTTCTATTGAACACAAATAAAGATATTTTGAAGAATGTTGTAACCAAACAGTTGCTGGTAGACATTGGCAAAGTAGTATGGGGAAAAAAAAATACTATAGAAGTCAATGGCTACCGTTGGATAGTTTGGGTAACTGTCCCTTTAACGGAGTCTCCTCCGGCTAGTATCCTGGTGGGAGGAGTAAGAGTAACTGGCAGCAAGTTTTCCTGAGTCATATTGTTGCCTGGTTACTAGCTGCCTTTGTAATACACTGAGCTCTTGGCCTGAGCGTGTCGGTTTCTGATTGGCTTGAGGTTAAAGGAAGTTGCTCTCCTGAAATACTCCACTGAAATGGAATAAGATTTCAGACAATAAAAGCATTTGCCATAAGCATTGTGGAAAACCAGCAGCTAAGTTACACAAAGACAAAACTAGCCAAAGTACAATTGTGTCCTCAGAGTGTTTATTTTTTTCTGATTTCAAATGCTTGAGAGCATAGTTCACAGAACCGTTGGATACATTTCAATGAGGAATTCATGCAAGAAGACAAAAGGATACACACAATCAAATTGGTAAACTAAGTAACACGCATAATTTGAAAATAAAATAAGCAGATAAATATGTAATATGAAATCTGAGATTACTAAACCGTGCTCAAGAAAACATTCCTCTATCGATTTTTGCATTTAATTGCATTTTTCATACTAATTACGAAGTCCAACAATGTATCTAGCCTTCAGACAATTTTTTATTGCACGTTTACAGCATTATATTGCTTCAGAGCAACTTCAACTTTACTCTATCATTCATGCTAATTGATAACATGTGCATTTATTATAATAAATCAATGTGGAATTGATATGGATACATTTTTGATTTTGTCAGTATATATAAACTGGCAACATAAATAGTGCCATGCTCTCACACACTGCATGTTTTGATCACATCAGCTCATTTTCTGTTAATGTTTTTTACCACATAAAATAAAACGGTTAACATAAAATCAGCTGGTCTTTGTTGTTTACCCCATTAGTGTAAGTACTGCATACTAGTATTTGGTGTTCTGTACTTTCATTGAGAGGAATTCTCCAAGCATAAGTACAGCCTCGTTACGTACAACACAGTGCCGTCACACTGTACTCTTGAAAAATCAAGCACATAATAATGTATAGCAGCAAGAACACGCAGGCTGGTCTCCTCTTCAGTAAAAGCAAACGCACTCTCTTTAATAGCTCCAATGAGAAATCCAGTGGTCAGACGACAAACCCAGAGAATCCAGCATAAGAATCAAACCTACAGGAAGGCACTGGGATTCGCCCGTGGGTCCTTTTGGTTTCTGTACCTGTATGTCAGCCAAAGCCCCAGGATCTGAAATAAGCAGAATGACGGGAGCAAACTTCAAGTTAACCATTTAAAAGAATAGTTCACTCAAAAATGAAACTTGTAGATGAGGTTGTTTCTTTATCTGAACAGATTTGGAGAAATTTAGCATTACGTCACTTGCTCACCAATGGATCCACTGCAGTGAATGGGTGCCGTCAGAATGAGAGTCCAAACAGCTGATAAAAAAAAATCACAATAATTCACACGACTCGAGTCCATATATTAAAATGTTATGAAGTGAAAAGCTGCATGATTGCAATAAAAGGCATTTTAATTCTTTCAATAATCCATAATAACTTTCTCCAGTGAAAAAGTTCATCCCATATTGTCCTCCCAAAACAATAAACACCAACATATCTGTTTAGAGCTGTTTTGGACTGTTTTAGCTTGTAAACGGTGCTTGATCTGTGCATATTTCTCTCCTGATTCAGATAAGTTGACTTTTTCACTGGACAAAGCAATATAATTGATAGAGGACTCGTGTTTTTGTCAGAAGTTATGGTTTTAAGTTAAAAATGTCTTGATGGATTTGTTTATTACAAAAATGCAGCTTTTAACTTCACGAGATGTCACCTCTTCACAAAGTATGATGGACTGGAGTGGTGTGGATTATTGTGATGTTTTTATCAGCTGCTTGGACTCTCATTCTGACGGCACCCATTCACTGCAGAGGATCCACTGGTGAGCAAGTGATGTAATGATCACTGATCTACATCAGAACAAACTCATCTACATCTTGGATGGCCTGAGGGTGAGTACATTTTCAGCAAATTTACAATTTCTGTATACTTCTTACAATCTTTTTCTGTAACAATTACAAATATTTTTTAAGATGCCTGACAATCAGTCTGTGAAATTCAGAGAAGAACCTGAAAGATGAGAAAGCAGGAGTTAGTTTAGCAGGCTGACCTCAGTGAAGCTGAAGAAGAGGCCGATCCCTCCGACAAAGCGCAGCACCTCGCCGGCGTGCTCCTGGATCTTTGCAGCACATGTGGTGCAAGTGCTGTAATGAAAGCAGGTCTGCACAAGGGCAGAAAAGACATTGACAAGAGCACCGAGTTATTATAAAGGAACAAAAACTGTGATTGCCTAACTTGTCACACACTTGTAGTTCATTATGCCACCATCAGCATGCAAATTAGTAGCACAACTATTATCACACACACAGATGTAATTTATATCGTTCAGCACATGCAATGCTACAGGAACATAACAAAAGAACAATGAAACTTGTGTATGAGAGGAAATTACAGCTGCACAGCTTCCATTGATATCCATGTGGGAGAAACCGCAGCAGTTCAGACTCTTCTCCACGTCCCTCTGAGTGGTCAGAGAGTTATTCCAGCCCACCTCCAAAAGGTGATTCTACACACAGGGATGAAACACATGTGAACTCCTGAAAAAACACAATATGGAACAATCAATAAAAAACAAAAGTCTCTATTTACACTGATCTGAGTTTGGAGGGGTCTATTGGCAGAGTAATTTTAGACCCTTTAATGGCAGCACCAAATATGTGTATATTTCAACATATACACCATTCAAATGTTTAGGGAAGGTAAGATTTTTTACATTTTTGAGTCTCTTATGCTCTCCAAGGCAGCATTTAATACAGCAAAATACAAAAATACAGGAAAAACAGAAATATTCCAAAATATTATTACCATTTAAAATAACATTTTAAAATTAATATATTCCCGTGAATTTTTTATTCCAGCATCATTACTCCAATCCTATTTATTATCCATGTTCAAAAAAGTTATTATTTTTGTTATTTTATATTTTTATAAATGACAATTTATATTATTTTAACTTTTCTTTTCCAGGATTCTTTGATGAATAAGAAAATCATTTAATTGAAATAGAAATGTTTTGCCACATTATAATTGCATTTACCGTCACTTTTGATCAATTTAATGTGTCCATGCTAAATAAAAATATTAATTTCTTAAAAAAAAAAAAATCTTATTGACCTCAAAATTTTGAATGGTACTGTATATTTGTAGCACATTTCCAAGACTAAAGACCACCAGAGCGGATTTATATGAGAATATTATAGTGAAGTACAGTGATCAGTCTTACCTGTTGCTCCTCATTGATAGCCAGACACGCACTGGACACTGAAAACTGAACTACAAACACCAGGAAAAGGATAATCATGTACTATTGACATTGAATTAAGGATTACAACACACAAATACAATGCCACTATTAACACCAAGTCTACCACTATCTTCAGTAGAATTCAGAAGTTCTGTATTAAATATCAGAACTTTAAATAAAACAAAATTAGACTCAATGAGACATGATGTAAATTAAGGCACATTTAGTGGTTGTTTGTGCTTTTTCTCTTGAAATCCAATAATAAATGGCAATGACAAACATAATTTTATTACGCTGTAATGCTTAAAATACAAACATGATTTATTTTATGTTTTATTGAGTATGAAATGTAATATACTGAAATAGTTTCTTATCCCTTAAAAGACTACCAGAATAATCATGAAATCATTCCTCCCTGAGTAACAGCATGTAATGATATATAAGCTTCTTCTAGGACATTTTTAGAAATTGCCCAAATTCATCTCAGGATTAGTTCATTTCATTTGAGAGTTTAGAATTCAGAAGTTCTGTATTAAATATCAGAACTTTAAATAAAACTAAATTAGACTCAATGAGAAATGATGTAAATTAAGGCACATTTAGTGGTTGTTTGTGCTTTTTCTCTTGAAATCCAATAATAAATGGCAATGACAAACATAATTTTATTACGCTGTAATGCTTAAAATACAAACATGATTTATTTTATGTTTTATTGAGTATGAAATGTATTATACTGAAATAGTTTCTTATCCCTTAAAAGACTACCAGAATAATCATGAAATCATTCCTCCCTGAGTAACAGCATGTAATGATATATAAGCTTCTTCTAGGACATTTTTAGAAATTGCCCAAATTCATCTCAGGATTAGTTCATTTCATTTGAGAGTCACCTCTACTTCAAATTTTTATCTAAACATCAAAATTGTCATATGGTGTGACCTTACTAATATGACAATATATAATAATTGATAGATTTACAGTTTAAGTAACAGAATTAGGCATTTTTAATGGACACAGAAAGTATTGATGTCTGTGCATGATTTTAAAGCAAGTTCTGGCTAAATACATTTTGTCCGTAAAATGGGCGTTAAACACTTTTTCACAAATTTTACTTATTAATTCTTAAAAAGCATTGCTGCCATGTGGCAATTTACATGCTAAGTATAAGATAGCTGTTTTTAGTTGACAACGAGATTAGCTAAACTGAACAAAACGTCATATGGTGTGACACTGTATCATATGGTGTGACTGTTTTTCCAAGTCACACCATATGATACTGTTGTCACACAATATTACATACACCTTTTTTAATGATAAATAAATAAATATTAAAAACATACTGAAAGAGTGTTATGGTGTACATTAAATTGCCCATACGATTAATATATTCCTTTTCAATTTTATACTTAATTTAACCATGTTTGCTATGCTTTACATATTAAAAGATGTCAACCATTAACTTTAAAATGATTTATTCATTCGATCATAGTGAAGGATACAAAGAACAGCAGAACCTGGTGGTGCTTCATGGCGCCAATAAGTCCAGCTAGGGCAACAAAGAAGAGGAAGACCCCCACTCCAATGATGCCACCCACCACCTGGAAGCTCGACACCAACCCAAAACACTTGCCCCAGGCGGCGATGCCGATCATCAGCAAACTCACCATCTGAAGACAGGGAGGAACTGTGCTGTTAGTGTTAAGTAAAACTATTAAAAATAGCAAATATTAAAATAAAATTCAACTATTAGATGAACTTAAACTTTAAAAAACTGAAAACTAAAATGATGCTGAATTAGAAATGCTTCCTTGGAAACTAACTGAAATAAGTTGAAGTTGAAGTATAAAATTACTCAAAGTAAAACTGAAATAAATATAAATTAAAGCTAAATAAAAATATATAAATCAAAAAAAAAAAAAAGTCAAACCACACAACTGAAATTTTTTTCCCTATTTTGTCCCAGCACTGGGTTGTATTTAACCCAGCATTTTTTAGAGTGTAGTATTACATTTTCCGATTCCAAAAGAAGGCATGCCCTTTAGTATCAGTTTTGTGGTCAACTTTAATTTTTCTAAAATGGTTTTAATAATGATGGCAGAATCTTAAATAACTACACTCTAAAAAAATGCTGGGTTGTTTCAATCCAACTTTGGGTCAAATATGGACTAACCCAACCGTTGGGTTACATTTTTACATTAACATTTTAACCCAAAAGTTGGGTTAGTCCATATTTGACCCAAAGTTGGATTGAAACAACCCAGCATTTTTTAGAGTGTAATTATAGTCAAGGAAAAACTAAAAAGTTACTAATTAATAGACTAATCGAAATGTTTTAAATGAAACACACACACAATTAAAGTTAAACCTATCAAATAATGTGACTAGGTTCAGGTTCCTGTAAATTCGGTCAGTGGTGATTCATGGGAACACAAATGGCACGGTTTTCTGAGAACGACCCAACAACAGCTGCAATGCCACTTGAGCAATACAACACAAGCACACATTATAATACAACATGTTTAAGCCTATTCACTCCTTTAAGCAGAATTGAGTATTTAGAGGTTAGTCCATATTGCTCTCATTTACCAACAAAGAGATATGACCCCTGAGCTGCTGCTTCCACCTATTAAATAACAAGTGAATGACCCCAGCTGATCATCATGTTTTCTTTCTCATCTAATGTAAATGGTGAGTGCAGACAAGAGCGTAATCAGCAGCACCACAATATCAGCTCCAGACTAATGAAGCAGGGTCTCAGTAAAAGTAGAACAAAAGCAGGATGTGAGTTTGCCAAAACAGACGAGTTGCGAGGAAACCGGGATGTGATTCTACAGGCTGCGCGTGAAACCAGACCCGCTCATCGGCCTCATTCCACACAAAGAATCTCTAAATAATTCACATGAATCCTGAGACACCGAGGACTGCAATACAGCCACACAGAAACACCTCTTGTATGAGTATTTGTGAAGCAGATGTGCTAATGTTATGATAAGGGCTGATAAAGATGCTCCATATGGTTACTCACAACATAGAGGATGTTGAGCGCGCACAGGGAATTCTTGGAGCAGGTGAATCCAGCGCAACCCATCTTGAATGCTGTTTTTCCGGACAAAAGCTTTCACCCGTGCAAATTCTGGAAATATCAGTTACATGACAAGCAAATCCAACAATTTAAGAGACGAACTTGTAGTTGAGCAACGAGAAAATAAGATGCGTGTGGTTTAGACCTGTTCACCGTGAACGCTGATGCATGAGAGGTTGCCAGATCCCCAAATAAAAGCCATCCTTTTTTTTTAAGGAGGAGGGTGGGTTGCTTAGAGATGTCTTTAAGCCTAATGGATTCTGACGACAAATTAAATTAAATAATATAATATAATATAATATAATACTAGGAACCACTAAAGGAGACATTATGCAAATTATCCAAGTTGTTAATTTCTGTATGTAGAAAATACACAATGCACAATGGAAGTACAACTGTACAATAGTGATGCTATTGATAGTGATTAAAAAAGATAGTATATATATAATTAAATTAAAATGATTCTATTATTAAACACAATTGTATATATATATATATATATATATATATATATATATATATATTATTTTTTTTTAATTAATATAAATAACTATTTTAAAATTTGTACTTATATAATATAATTTCTTTATGATATAGTGAATATGCAGCATATAGTATTAAAAAAATATACTGCTACTGGTGCCCTCTCAGTAAATAGGTTCCTCTGGCAGGCTCCTTTCTAATAACTACAGGAGCAAAGTCATTTATAAGAAAAAAAACCCTTACTCATTTATTTTACATTTTTTTGGCCATTATATATTTTGTCTTGACAGACTAAAAACAATAATTTACCATTGAGTCAGATACCATAACAAGTTGTATGGATACCAAGTTATTCTCATAAAATATTTATACACATTTTATGTATGAAATTACAATCCAACATTCCAAGAAGGGCTTTACTCTGTCATGGCAACCATGTAAGGAGGCGGGACTGGCCGTGCGCGGTCAAATTGATTGGTCAGTTTTCATTGAATAATGATCGCACAGATTCATTGACAGAATGTGGTTTGCACATATTCCCCCCTCCCCTTAGTAACAGTTGTGAGGACAAGCACAACTGTATTCCACACAACAATATGGCCAAGAAGTCAAAGATGAAAAATGTTGATGATATGATTATAACTACTGCACTGTAAGTTTAAAGGGGTCAGCAGTATAGTCTACTTTGTGCATCTTCCAGTTTATGCCTCTGTGTCTGTCCTTATTCACATAGTTTGCGCTGAAATAAAATGGATATTTTTACATTAGGTTTAACATTCTTCCATTATTATTTTGTTATATTAATTATTGTGAAGTGTATATAGGTGGGCCAGGACTAGCCTATTTGTCACAATCTTTATACAGTTAATTAATACAAGTTGACCTTTGTGAAATCATGCCCCATGACAATATGAGATCATTTGTCACAATGGAAACGAGCCTACGATTAAACAGACTATTATAAGCTTTTAAGCAGTAAGATATTTATGAAACACGAGCGTAAACAACAAAAAATAAAAGTTAAGATTTTTGTCTGAAGATATGCTAGTGTGATTTTATTGTGTTCACTTGATTATCACACATCTAAAATGTGCGTTTTAGGAATGAAAAGATTTTGAACCACACACACACACACACACACACACACACACACACTCACACACACACACACACACACACACACACACACACACACACACACACACACACACACACACACACACACCCACACCCACACACACCCACACACACACCCACACACACACACACACACACACACACATATTATAGATGACTTAAAGTAATGCATAATATAAATGTATAATAACATGCCAGGGGAAAATGCATATACTAAATATTTAACTCTAAATTGGGATTAAGAAGACATTTTAGATTCAGCTTCTGTATATCATAGACCTTTTCACTGTGTTTGATGCTAGTGTTTTTACTCTCAGTGTGCTCTGAGTGACAGTGTGTGTTATCTCAGTGAGGGTTGTGCATAGTGTTTGGCTGCACTGAGCCTGTTTTGAGCCATGTGTTAAGAGTTGTGTTGCTTGGAATGAGTTTTGCAGGTGATGTGAACTGTTTAGCTCAGGTGACTGTTGGTAGTGCAGACTGTAGTTAGAGTTTTGCACATGTAGCTCCAGTTGTGCCCACTGTCATTTAGCAATCGAAAAAAACTGTAAAAGGATATTTCACCAAAAAAAAAAAGAGTTTCTTTCTTCTGTTGAACATAAAAAGAAGGTATTTTTGAAGACTGCTTGTAACCAAACTGTTGATGGTAGCCATTGACTAACGTAGTATGAAAAAAAAACATTGAAGTCAATGGCTACCATCAAAATATCTTGTTTTGAGCTCAACAGAAGAAAGAAACTCATACAGGTTTAGAACAACTTGAGGTTGAGTAAATAATGAAAGAATTTTCATTTTTGGGTGAACTGTTCTTAAATAATTAAGTAATTCACTGTATGCAATGAGACATTTGAATGTCATTTGAAACCTGCTGCATAGATGTGCTGATGCAGCCACTAGAGGGCAGTCGTGCTACAGTCAAGATATACAACTCTTCCTGAGGCGCAGAGATAAGAACAGAGTAAAGCTTGACCTGTCAGTGAGAGAACAGACGCGGACTGTGTTCAAATCTCAAGGGCCCCTGGGGCACTTATACAGTCAGAGATGCGAAAGGCCTTTTGAAGTGCTTGTTTTAGCTGAAATGAAAGAATTAAACTGATCATGTGAAAGATCAGTGAATCAGTTTCTTATGATGGTTTGATTATACTGTTATGCAAAACACATGTCCCAATCCTGTTTTCAGTCATACTAGTTAATGATAGAGAGAGAGAGAAAAAAAACCCAAAACAAAACTGCACAACATCAGCAATGCAAAAATCTAGTTGTAATTTATCTACGAGTTTCTGCCGTATTTTAACAGCTTTTTATTCTGTTGACCACTAGGTGGCAGCAAAGTCATTATCTGTTTTGAAGCTATTCTAAGCAGTTATTTTAGTATCGAGCTATTACTATAGTTTTTATTATTATTTTGAATGAGTTTTTATTATCATATTTCATGTTTTCATTTTGTTTCATTTTTGTTTCAATTTTCGTTATGTTTCAATTTTAGTAATTTTGTTGTGTGTTTTTGCCATTTTTATGAATTATTTTTTAAATGTCTCTATAGTTTTTTTAAACAAAGTTTTATTTCAGTTTTAGTATATTTTATTCTTATTTATTTTTAGTAATTATTATTTTAAGTTAATTATAAAGCCATGGAGTACCAAGAGTACCACTTTCATTTTTAATTTCTCACAAACATACATAACACAAATTAATTTTTACAAAGCTCATCGGTCTGAAAAAGCGAGGTGGGCTCTGATTGGCCAGCTATCCAGTGCGTTGTGATTGGCCGAATACCTCAAGCGTGTGACGGAAATGTTACGCCCCTCACATACTGTTGTATTCCCTCAGCGACCCGCCCGGATCAGCTCTAGGCATGACGAAGCGGATATCGTCCTCTTTTGGAAGGCCAAACAAAGTAGTTTCGTTTTCACAACGAATCTCACAGTGCCTTCAGGACATGGCGGCGGCGGCAACAATACTACAGCGAGAATAAAAGTTACTCCTTCTTTCTTTGCGTGAACATTTGGGCGGCGATAAAGCAAATCTTCCCACATCGTGATGTAGACATGTGGGGGCGTGTTAGAACGAGCCGTTTTAGGTAGGCGTGGTTGACTTAACTTTTATAAAGAATATCTCTTTGGATTTGAGACTTTAGTCTTTGCAACTTTACAGATCTTCTTTATGCACCAAGAGCTTGTAACACTCCAAAGAAAAAGGAAAACTTGAAATCGCATCATATGACCCCTTTAACAAGCTCATAAATTCCACATATCTAAAAGGTGACAAACGTCTGTGTTGTTAATGGCGTTAAAAGCAGCAGATTACTAGTCTGACTGATGGCTTTTCTCTTTAAGATTCACCAGACACTGCAGCTGTCACAATATCTCAGCTGCCTGATTGTGATGCTGCTGTTGTGAACTCATTATCACCTTTTTATTTCTTCAGTTCTGCTGATATATGTTCACATTGTATCACAGGGAGAATTTTTTTTTTTATAAAATGGTCCTGTTTTCTGACGAATGCAGAGAGCATTAGTTGCTGGTTTGCCCTTGAGAGGGTGATAAGTTCTAGATTTGGCACCCGAACTTATTCAGCGTGTCCTGTTTTAGCCACTATAAAGGGGTGCAATAAAAAGAAATCACACTAACCGCCCTGAATCTGTCAAAATCTTGTCCATGCTGCTGGCTCTAACAGAAAATCATAGCATAATCCTTGGAAATGGCCACTATTTTATTGCCTTCAAGGCAACAGAGGAAGAGAGCTTGTTCAGCAACTAGGCATTATTAAAGCCTAAGAGTTATTTTGCCTGTCTTACACCATATAAAATCATGTCTTTCATGGGATGCACATACTTAAAATAAACAGAATTTTAAATCTTTTTGATCAACCACTTTAAGTATGTATTAAGTATAGCATATGAATAGACTTCTTTTAATAACTAGTGCATGCACACACACACACACACATATATACAGGTATATGTGTGTGTGTGTGTGTGTGTGTGCATACACTAGCTTTCAAAATATATATAAAAAAAAGAAATTATTTCTTTTACTCAGCAATGATATATTAAATTGAGCAAATGTTACAGTAAAGACATTAATAATGGTGAATATTTGTTTTTCAAATTAAATGCTGTTCTTTATTTTGTCAAAGAATTCTGAAAAAATATATATTATGGTTTCCACAAACATATTATTTGTAACATATTACAAACATTTTCAACATTGATAATAATAAATGTTTCTTGAGCAGCAAATCAGCATATTAGAATGATTTCTGGAGGATCATGTGACACTGAAGACTGGAGTAATGAAAATTGAAAATTCAGCTTTTTATCACAGAAATAAATTACATTTTACAATTATAATTACATTTTAAAATATATTTTCAGAAAGAAAACAGTTCTTTTGAATTGTAATAATATTTCACAATATTACTGTTCTTAGTGTATTTTTGATCAAATGAATGCAACCTTGGTGAACATACAAGACTTTTTTTCAAAAACATTAAAAAGCTTACATAATTTATATTGCTTAATATATGAATTGAGCTATACACATTGCAGAAAACAACAACAACTCAATAGTGCTGTCATCCA